TCATGAGGAAGGTGAGGGATCAGCCCAGAACTACACGGCAGGACCTGGTCAATGACCTGAAGAGAGCTGGGACCACAGTCTCAAAGAAAACCATTAGTAACACACTACGCCGTCATGGATTAAAATCCTGCAGCGCACGCAAGGTCCCCCTGCTCAAGCCAGCGCATGTCCAGGCCCGTCTGAAGTTTGCCAATGACCATCTGGATGATCCAGAGGAGGAATGGGAGAAGGTCATGTGGTATGATGAGACAAAAATATAGCTTTTTGGTCTAAAGTCCACTCGCTGTGTTTGGAGGAAGAAGAAGGATGAGTACAACCCAAGAACACCATCCCAACCGTGAAGCATGGAGGTGGAAACATCATTCTTTGGGGATGCTTTTCTGCAAAGGGGACAGGACGACTGCACTGCATTGAGGGGAGGATGGATGGGGTCATGTATCGCGAGATCTTGGCCAACAACCTCCTTCCCTCAGTAAGAGCATTGAAGATGGGTCGTGGCTGGGTCTTCCAGCATGACAACGACCCGAAACACACAGCCAGGGCAACTAAGGAGTGGCTCCATAAGAAGCATCTCAAGGTCCTGGAGTGGCCTAGCCAGTCTCCAGACCTGAACCCAATAGAACATCTTTGGAGGGAGCTGAAAGTCCGTATTGCCCAGCGACAGCCCCGAAACCTGAAGGATCTGGAGAAGGTCTGTATGGAGGAGTGGGCCAAAATCCCTGCTGCAGTGTGTGCAAACCTGGTCAAGACCTACAGGAAACGTATGATCTCTGTAATTGCAAACAAAGGTTTCTGTACCAAATATTAAGTTCTGCATTTCTGATGTATCAAATACTAATGTCATGCAATAAAATGCAAATTAATTACTTAAAAATCATACAATGTGATTTTCTGGATTTTTGTTTTAGATTCAGTCTCTCACAGTTGAAGTGTACATATGATAAAAATTACAGACCTCTACATGCTTTGTAAGTAGGAAAACCTGCAAAATCGGCAGTGTATCAAATACTTGTTCTCCCCACTGTATATTGAGATCATGTGACACTTAGATTGCACACAGGTGGACTTTATTTAACTAATTATGTGACTTCTGAAGGTAATTGGTTGCACAAGATCTTATTTAGGGGCTTCATAGCAAAGGGGGTGAATACATATGCATGCACCACTTTTCCGTAATTTATTTTTTAGAATTTTTTGAAACACATTATTGTTTTCATTTCACTTCACCAATTTGGACTATTTTGTGTATGTCCGTTACATGAAATCCAAATAAAAGATAGCCCTATTTGGTAACAAGTCCATATTATGGCAAGAACAGCTCAAATAAGCAAAGAGAAACAACAGTCCATCATTACTTTAAGACATGAAGGTCAGTCAATACGGAACATTTCAAGAACTTTTAAAGTTTCTTCAAGTGCAGTCGCAAAAACCATCAAGCGCTATGATGAAACTGGCTCTCATGAGGACCACCACAGGAATGGAAGACCCAGAGTTACCTCTGCTGCAGAGGATAAGTTCTTTAGAGTTACCAGCCTCAGAAATTGCAGCCCAAATAAATACTTCACAGAGTTCAAGTAACAGACACATCTCAACATCAACTGTTCAGAGGGGACTGTGAATCAGGCCTTCATGGTCGAATTGCTGCAAAGAAACCACTATTAAAGGACACCAATAAGAAGAAGAGACTTGCTTGGGCCAAGAAACACGAGCAATGAACATTTGTCCTTTGGTCTGGAGTCCAAATTTGAGATTTTTGGTTCCAACCGCCGTGGCTTTGTGAGATGCAGTGTGGGTGAACGGATGATCTCTGCATGTGTATTTCCCACCGTAAAGCATGGAGGAGGAGGTGTGATGGTGTGGGGGTGCTTTGCTGGTGACACTGTCTGTGATTTATTTAGAATTCAAGGCACACTTAAGCAGCATGGCTACCACAGCATTCTGCAGCGATACGCCATCCCATCTGGTTTGGGCTTAGTGGGACTATCATTTGTTTTTCAACAGGACAATGACCCAACACACCTCCAGGCTGTGTAAGGGCTAGTTTACCAAGAAGGAGAGGGATGGAGTGCTGCATTAGATGACCTGGCCTCCACAATCCCCCGACCTCAACCAAATTGAGATGGTTTAGGATGAGTGAAGGAAAAGCAGCCAACAAGTGCTCAGCATATGTGGGAACTCCTTCAAGACTGTTGTAAAAGCATTCCAGGTGAACCTGGTTGAGAGAATGCCAAGAGTGTGCAAAGCTGTCATCAAGGCAAAGGGTGGCTATTTGAAGAATCTCAAATATAGAATATATTTTGGTTTGTTTAACACTTTTTTGGTTACTACATGATTCCATATGTGTTATTTCATAGTTGTGATGTCTTCACTGTGATTCTACAATGTAGAAAATAGTAGAAATAAAGAAAAACCCTGGAATGAGTAGTTATGTCCAAACTTTTGACTGGTACTGTATATAAAAATGTTCCTTAAAGTAAACTTTTTTGGAGATGACTAATGTTACTGTCCCCACTACATTAAAAATAAAAATTGCATGCAATTTTGTCCTTGACACATTTAATTGAAATATTGTAGAATTCCATTAATTCCTTTGGAGGACTGCTCCTACTGGGGAGTGACAATATGGCTGACCGGTGGCTTCAAAAGCTCTCAATGGCCAACAATGTATAGTATCAGCAATCCAGGGTTTATATACATCATTAGATCAAGCCCAAACTGTGTGATGTAGTAGGGAGTTGTAGTTTCCAACAGGCCAATATTCTACATAGTGTAGTGAGAGAAAAAAAAACATAGTAATTAACTACAATGACCATAATCCATTGCGCGCCTACATGCCGGTGGACAGAGAGAAGAAAGAAGAATGCGTAATCGAGAGGGATAAAGAGCAGTGGCTTCACAAGGTATCTCTACCTGAAAATACATGATCTAAGTGATTGATAGTTGGTATTCAGCAGCCATAAAAGTATGCCTTATTTACTTTAAAGAACTACTAAAATTGTGATTTTGTCAGACAGCATAGACAGCAACTCTATAGAGATGAGATGTTGACTTGGAATGAAATAATAAAGTAATCAAATAAAAACAAATGTAATATACACAACAACTGAAATATTGTATTAAAGTACAACAATGTGAATAAATGATTGTTAATAAGTGATAAGCAGTAATGGGCAGTCACTACCATCATGGAACTTTTATTAATTGTTTTATTGTGTGTTGTTACAGCATTCAACCCACATAACACATAGTGCATTTCATGTCTAAAAAAAATCATTGAAATCGAAAACCGTGATAATATTTTTATAATCAAACCGAAACCGAACCGACCTCAAAAAGCACTAATCACTCAGTACTAGTGTCCAGGCACCCCATTTTAAGCTGTTTGACCACAGTAAAAGGCCAGCAACACTCCGTATTATTCAGAGCCCCATGAAATGACACTATATATAGTTTCTATAGACCCTACTGAGTACTCTCCACCCCACTTTTATGTCGGGACAAAGAATGGTTTTATGTAATATGTAATGCATATAAAGCAGAGGAGGCTGGTGGGAGGAGCTATAGGAGGACCGGGTCATTGTAATGGCTGTAATTGAATCAATGGAATGGTACCAAACAAATCAAACACATGGAAACAACGTGTTTGACTCCGTTCCATTGATTCCAATACAGTCATTACAATGAGCCCATCCTCCTATAGCTCCTCCCACCAGCCTCCTCTGATATACAGTGATTTGCATTGGGGGCATTTATTTAACCTTGGAACATGTTTTCAATCCCAAATTGAATGAAAATGTGAACAAATATTAATTCCTGAACAAATATAAATCATTTTCATATACCATGAATACAGGTTAATGACACCATTCTACTATTACGTGGGGGACTTTTATTTAGAACGTTTCCGAAATTCTGTGACCCGGAAGTACTTGTAATGTTACTGACGAGATTCTGATACGAGTCTCCCTTCATTTTTTTAGTGTCCCATACATTTATAATGGACACAACATGCCGAGGTCTCTCAAATCTTTCCCTAAACCACCCTCTTGCTCCAGTTGAATCTGCCAATTGTGGCAGCTCTTCTTCGCAAGATGATGAAGACGTGGACGGCTTTGTGGATCTGCGATCTCTGCCTGTAGATATCTGCGAGAGACGACCCACATGTTTACGATGTTGGTAAGTTCAGTGGGAGGCTGGGAGCACCACCACAAAATATATAAGTTACCAGTATCTTTGCCACCACCATTGATTGATAGTGTGTGATTGAAAGCTTTTCATCATAGTCGAATATTTAGGATTAGCTAGTTACTGTAATGGACCATCACATATCCCGTTACAATTCTGTAGCTACAGCTGGACTGTATTGATTACACGGATGCGAACGAAACGGGGAGGGACCTACCTGAATTTGTCAAATAGAAACTTTAGGTTTCGTTGCAAAACGCAACAGTTTGAACTAATGATTAGACCCCTGGAACATTGGTACATTGTGGGAGCCTTGGAGGCAACCCGCCTGAGAGAGACTAGCTAGCTACAGGAGAATATTCATTCTCACCATGACGTATTCTGCTGCTTCTATCGAGACGATATGTGGAAGGAGTCCCTCGCGGGACTAGGGGTAGGTTACTTATCAAATAGTCTTGCAATTTATACGGTTTACCAGACTCAACAGGAAGCAAACAGGGCACCACCCATACGTAAAAATGTATGCAGGCATGACTGTAAGTCGCTTTGGATAAAAGCATCTGCTAAATTGCATATTATTATTATTATTATACTTAACGGGGAGGGACCTACCAATACAAACTCTCGTTTAAGTTAACAGTTTCTGTTGCAAATTGTTTGTGCAACAGACGAAACGTTTTACAACAGAATCAGCGTAATGAATACACCCCAGTACTGTGTCCTTGTCTCCTTTCCTGATTTGTGGACAGGTGAAAGCAAATTCTCGGTAGTCATCCACCATAAGTATACCTTTCACCTCTCCCTGGTAGTCACATATGAAGGTCTGCGATGAGGAAGGTATTTATTTAAGACTGTTTGGGACATATCTTCACCCTCTCCTCTTCTCTCCAAACAGCCGTCCCCAGAAGGTGTGCCTCTGCCCGTTCCTGCCAGTCCACCCCCTGGAGATCTCCACGTGTCTGTACATCGTACAGCATCCTGCAGAGGTGGGGTGTGTGTGTGTGTGTGTGTGTGTGTGTGGGGGGGGTCGTTCCATATGATTTCAATCACTTTCTGATTGCACCCCTTTTGATTTGAACGAAACCACCCTGTATTCAAGTGTATGCTGTGTCTCAACTGATGGCAGGCACAACACAAACACCTCAGAATGTAAAATAGGTTCTAAGCTACAACATATATGAACATGAAAAAAATCGGAGTTTTTAGATAATTGATGTTAAAGCTTAAAAAATGACTATTTTAATTAAAAACATTTTTTTTTCAATAAATCATTGAACAGTTTGACAACCCTGTTTTATAAGCATTCAAATTATACTGAACAAAAATCTAAACGCAACATGCAACAATTTCAACGATTTTACTGAGTTACAGTTCATATAAGGAAATCAGTCAATTGAAATGAATTCATTAGGCCCTAATCTATGGATTTCACATGACTGGGCAGGGGCGCAGCCATGGGTGGGCCTGGGAGGGCATAGGCCCACCCACTTGGGAGTCAGGCCCAGCCAATCAGAATGAATTTCCCCACACGAAGGCTTTATTACAGACAGAAATACTCCTCAGTTTCATCAGCTGTCCGGGTGGCTGGTCTCAGACGATCCCGCAGGTGAAGAAGCCGGATATGGAGGTCCTGGGCAGGCGTGGTTATACGTGGTCGGTGGTTGTGAGGCCGGTTGGACGTACTGTCAAATTCTCTAAAACGACATTAGAGGCAGCTTATGGTAGAGAAATTAACATTGAATTCTCTGGCAACAGCTCTGGTGGACATTCCTGCAGTCAGCATGCCACTTGCATGCTCCCTCAAAACTTGAGACATCTGTGGCATTGTGTTGTGACAAAACTGCACAATTTAAGAGTGGCCTTTTGTTGTCCCAGCACCTGTGTAATGATCATGTTGTTTAATCAGCTTCTTGATATGCCACACCTGTCAGGTGGATGGATTGTCTTGGCAAAGGAGAAATGCTCACTAACAAGGATGTAAACAAATTTGTGCACAACATTTGAGAGAAATACGCTTTTTGTGAGTATGGAACATTTCTGGGATATTTTATTTTAGCTCATGAAACATGGGACCAACACTTTACATGCTGCGTTTATATTTTTGTTTAGTATATATCAAAATCAGTGATGAAGACATGGCTGTCTCATGGTAGGGTGGAGTAGGCAAACTGGGTCAACTTTGAGCACCTCCATCTCCTGAATGTTTTGGCATTCAGGTCCAAAAAGTCACTTTCTGACCACTACTACCATGGGCAAACATGTATGGAAGGTTTCATTCAAATCATAAGGGGTACATTAATAAAGTGATTAAAATGATATGGAACGACCCACTCACAACCCTGAGTTTTGACCTTGAGTAAGGCCCCAAACTGCTCCAGGGGTACTGCTCTGCAGCTGACCCTATGCTGCTCTGAGCCAGTGTGTGTTTGTGTGGTTGGGTACTGTGTCAGCAAAAATAAGAATTTCTATTCAACAATGGAAATGGTTTTCTCTGTGTTTTCAGGAGAGTCGAGCGCTTCGTACCGTTCCTCTCCTTGCTGCGTGCTTGCCCCCAGGAAAATGCAAGGTCTTGGTGGGAAGGAGATTCAATAAAGAGAGGTAAACATTTATCTTTATGTTTGTCCGATACTGAACATTACATGTACATAATTCTCTGTAAACATGTTGCCTCTCTCTCTGCCTTACAGGAACCCAGAGCTGGCTGCAGTGTGTCAAGACAGCAGAACCCTGATCCTGTACCCGGGTCCAGATGCTCAGAACCTGGAGGAGCTAGTCCAGAAACAAGACCGGGACCAGGAAGACCAGGACCAGGACAACCTGGACAGGATGGGGGAGCAATTTGTAAGGGCAGTGGAACACAATGTCATCATCATCGACGGCACCTGGAGCCAGGCCAAAGATATGTTCCTCAGAAACACCCTGCTCCACCAGCCCAAACAGGTGGGACAGCTATACTCCAACGGGGCACATTAGATTGAGTATAATGGAACCAGGGTGCTTTACACCAGGGGTGTAATGATTAAGTACAATGGAGCCAATGCAATAGTCCCAAAAGTGCAAACTACAAGCTAAATCAAGGGCTTTCAAGTATATAGTCTGGTTATTTGTAGTGTGGAAATGGAGTCTGCTACGTTGTGTATTTCAGGTACAGCTGAGCAGGAGTGAGCAGACTAGCCAGTATGTGATCCGTTCTCAGCCATCAAACATCTGCCTGTCCACCCTGGAGTGTGCTGCTGTCACCCTGTCCATCCTAGAGAGGAACGAAGCAATACAGGAGGTGGGTACCATATAGACCTATACTGTACGTGACATGACAATCATATATACAGACATTCATACTTGTTCTACACGATAAAATATACACATCGATTTCTATCTGTACTTTCTATAACATCTCACAACTTCTACCCTCCTGACCATACCCTCTTGAGCAGTGTTGGGGGTAATGTGTTATAAAGCAACGCATTACAGTAATAATATTACATTTTATAGTAATGAGTAATGTAATGGAGTTATTGCTTCAATTTGAGTAATAATATTATAGTTTCTGATCAAAGAAATAGGTTGTTACTTTTGTTATCATTCCCTTCCTATTGCAGTTATTGATCCAAATAAATATTTGTGGTTATTATTCCCTCTCTGTTGGTGCAATATATATTTTTTAAACCCATCCCAGATTCAAATAGTTTTCGTCCTCAGTGTCACCAAGTTCCTGTTTACGCACGCACTACTACTAACTGCTTTAGTGAGAGAGATGAAAAATGACAGCAGCATCTAAAACATTGACTTTCTCAGTGTGGAAGTACTCTGCAAAGGCAACACGCCAACACAAAACACGTATCGAAAGACCCCCAAGACCTGACCACTGCTGCTGAAGATGACTGTAGGCCTATCTCATCCAAACAACCAAGGCTTGATTTTAATCGTTCAGGAGGACAGGCTGTAAACTAGGGAGAGCTGAACAAGCTTGTAGCGGGGCATGTAGTAGACGAAATGCTGCCCTTATCCATGGTAGAATCTGTCATTATTACGATACTTGTTTTGGTGTATAGGCCTACCGTAGGGCTGTGGTGGTGGGGCAGACCTACAAGTCTAATAAATCCATGTAATATAGCGTTACACCATCACAATAAATCCTTTTTTTTTTTTTTTGACAAGTCTAAAGAAACATGATATGAAGAAAATGTAGTCTATTTCAGAAGAACAGAATAGCATACTCTGAGTTGTTCTTATGTTAGGGCCTGATCTGGCTATGCCATATGGCTGTGGGCTACACTATTTCATTTAGCAGACAAGATTTGCTTAGAATTCCATGCCATTATTTTATAGTATGAAGAATACAATTGAACATAGCTGAATAAAATAGAAAGGATCTTTTCTCCAAATGATTTGAGGGAGTGCGCACGTGACTATTCTGTGTTGAGCGGTTAACATTTTTACATTTTTAGTCATTTAGCAGACGCTCTTATCCAGAGAGGCTTATAGTTAGTGAGTGCATACATTGTCGGCAAGGAATATGGGAACTGTCATGGTAATTATTCTAATCAAAGGAGAGACTTTTAGATTTCCTCAAAGCAATTTAGCTTTATTAATTACATTTACGTCATTTAGCAGACGCTCTTATCCAGAGCGACTTACAAAGTGGTGCATTCAACTTATGATACCCAGTGGGACAACCACTTTTTTTTTATGTGGGGGGGCGGGGGGGGGGGAGGGGTAGAAGGATTACTTTTATACTATTCCAGGTATTCCTTAAAGAGGTAGGGTTTCAAGTGTCTCCGGAAGGTGGTCAGTGAGTCCGCTGTCCTGGTGTCGTGGGGGAGCTTGTTCCACCATTGGGGTGCCAGAGCAGCGAATAGCTTTGACAAAGAAACAGGTACTCCTATATGTTTTATTTAGAGGCTGTACACACTTCATCAGTCTCCCATTCACAATTTGACAAGCACTTGATAATGCCTCGAATTTCTCGGCTGCATCCCCTTTGTGTGGCCATAATGCCCCCTAAAAAAAATCTGTGCCTTTTGCGGCCAGTGGCCGTTGTGCCCTTGGGCTGAATATAATAATTAGAATTCCCTTCACTCACACACACACTGCACCTCTCACTCACGTGGCTCTGAGTCACATGATCGGGTCTTTCTCACATGCTACAAGTGGAGACCGACACATCGGGGACGCAACTGCGCATGTCCTTATCCAATTCCTAGGCGCATATTGAAGATATTGGAAGAACTGTCCACATTGACTTTTGGTCAGCCAACAAGATGAGTAGGCCTAACGAACAGCAAAAGCACTGGACTATGTCAATCTACTATCCCCCATGGTACAAAAGTTGACCTATTCTGTGCAATAAATAAATATTCCAAACATAGTATGGGACAGTTGTGGGATGCAATAGATCCCAAATTAATAAAACCACTAGCATCAAAAAAACTGTTTTAAGCAATGAGCCTGACACAACATGAGAATGTTTAGCTATTTCTTCACATGATAAGTGCAGCAATGCGCACATGGCAGTAGGCTATAAGCACATATTTTTTACATTTTAGTCATTTAGCAGACGCTCTTATCCAGAGAGACTTACAGTTAGTGAGTGCATACATTATTTAATTTTTTCATACTGGCCCCCCGTGGGAATCGAACCCACAACCCTGGCGTTGCAAACGCCATGCTCTACCAACTGAGCTACATCCCTGCCGGCCATTCCCTCCCCTACCCTGGGCCAATTGTGCGCCACCCCATGGGTCTCCCGGTCACGGCCGGCTACGACAGAGCCTGGATTCGAACCAGGATCTCTAGTGGCACAGCCTTAGACCACTGCGCCACTCGGGAGGTGGTCCATTAGCAGGAAAACACCATTCTCAAAAGTGACCATAAATGCGATTATGCATGTAAACTTTTATTATAAAAGTGCATTTTTATGGTGAAAATTATCATTCCCAAACTTGAAACTCATGCGCTGCATATGTATGCCAGTTAGGCTCTACACCCGTTGTAAAGCGGATTAATGTGCTCCATTTAAAAAAAAGTTATTTGGCCACTTTAGTTGTGTGATACAAACCTTATCAAAACATATCGGCCTATGGGCTAGGCTACATGAGGTGTGCGACTATGATTTCAAAAAGTAGCACAATAAAAAGCATGCGCTGTTTGCCTTAAGCTGGGCATCATTCCCACGGGGGGCCAGTATGAAAAAATGTATGCACTCACTAACTGTAAGTCGCTCTGGATAAGAGCGTCTGCTAAATGACTAAAATGTAAAAATAATATATCATTCACAAGTGATAGGCTAATATTGTCACCCATCACACTATTCTTGATTTAAAATTGTATTTACATATACTAAATAATATATTTGTGAAATTTGCGTTGATTTATAATGGACCATTATCATGCAACTGTCTCGAAAAAAAATACGTATTCTATTCATTTAAATAGCGAATGGAGGACGCTTTTCCGTGGTTCATTTTCATGCCAGCCAGGTAGGCTATACTCCTGTTTTTAAAGAGAAGCAATGTGCTTAATATTAGGAAAGTTGAGAAATAAATATAGTATACCTAGCCTATAGAAAGCTTTTTTTGGTTTACCTTTATTTAACTAGGCAAATCAGTGAAGAACAAATTCTTATTTACAATGACGGCCTACCAAAAGGCAAAATGCCTACTGCAGGGACGGGGGCTGGGATTAAAAATAAAAATATAGGACAAAACACACATCACGACAAGAGACAACACTACATAAAGAGAGACCTAAGACAACAACATAGCATGGCAGCAACACATGGCAACACAGCATGGTAGCAACACCACATGACTACAACATGGTAGCAACACAACATGGCAGCAGCACAAAACATGGTACAAACATTATTGGGCACAGGCAACAGCACAAAGGCAAGAAGGCAGAGACAACAATACATCACGCGAAGCAGCCACAACTGTCAGTAAGAGTGTCCATGATTGAGTCTTTTTGAATGAATAGATGGAAATAAAACTGTCCAGTTTAACTGTTTTTTGCAGCTCGTTCCAGCGCTAGCTGCAGCGAACTGAAAAGAGGAGCGACCCAGGGATGTGTGTGCTTTGGGGACCTTTAACAGAATGTGACTGGCAGAACGGGTGGAGGATGAGGCCAACACTCTGTTTTCTCATGCAATTGCATAGCCTATAGAAATGTTGCGCAACATCAGCTCATGGGCTCTCATGAAGTGATTGATTAGATTTGCATTGATGTCAGAGTGATTAGAGGGACAGTAGAGTGCGGGGTACCAGGCAGTTAGCAAGTTTGTTAGGCTTCTAATGACCATCAGCAGCATCAGAGCTTGGAGAAGCCTAATTACTGTAACTAAACGGTCACGTGGAATTTGACTGCCATCATGACTCGTGACTGCCGGTGTGGCGGTAATACGGTCACCGTAACAGCCCTAGGCCTACGTAACGTAACGTTGACATTGTTTACATTTAGTGAGGACGTCTAACATTTTGGGATGTAATGCGAAAAAGTAATATGACGAGTAGTGTAACAAATTACTTTTCCCAAGGAGTCATAAGTAAAGTAATTGTTGAAATCAGTAACGCGTAATGGATAATATATTACTTTTTGTGAGTAACGACCCCAACACTGCTCCTGAGCATAAGACTGCTACAGACCCACACCATGATGGCGGACAGCCCTTTGCAGCAACCTGCCTGTACGTGACTGTACATTTCCTCTTCCTGTCCCTTCCAGGTTCTGTTGAAGCCTCTGCAGGCTCTCTGCTCCTTCCAGCTGCAGCATGGGGCCCTTGTCCACCACAGCAAGGAACACCTGATACGACACGGCATGTATGACAAACAGATGCCCACGAACAAACGCAAGATCAAGAGAATGGAGAACCTTATTACTAACCAGCACATCTGCCCTAGATGAGGGACTACTAGGTTGTGTCTGAAATAAAAGAACACCCTGGCCTATCCTCATATAGTTCACTACTTTTGACCTGAGTGCAATTTGGATTAATCAACATTTCTTCTACCTTTCCCAGATGTGTGCAGAGCACTGAAATTCAGACCCCTCAAGGATTTAAAACCATTGGATGGGTGTGGATGGTGTTTCTACCCCCATATTTCCAATCCAATGTGTGGTTATTTGAAATGTCTTATTTGTTTTTATACATGTGTTGAAATAAATTATGAATAAGTAAAGTGTCTGCTGTCTAATTTGATTATGCAGAACCTGATGGCATGGTGCACATTGGTGGAAAAAGTACCCAGTTGTCTTACTTGAGTAAAAGTAAAGATACCTTAATAGAAAATGACTCATGTGAAAGTTACCCAGTGAAATACTACTTTAGTAAAAGTCTGAAAGTATTTGGTGTTAAATATCTTTAAGTATCAAAAGTAAAAGTATAAATAATTTTAACATTCCTTATATTAAGCAAACCAGACAGCATGATTTTCTGGATTTGTATTTATTTGTGGAAAGTCAGGGGCACACCAACACTCAGAAATCATTTGCATTGGTGTTTAGTGAGTCCGCCAGATCAGCAGCAGTAGGGCTGACCAGGGATGTTCTCTGGATAAGTGTGTGAATTGGACCATTTTCCTGTCCTGCTAAACATTCTAAATGTAACAAGTACTTTTGGGTGTCAGGGAAAATGTATGGAGTAAAAAGTACATTATTTTCTTTAGGAATGTATAGTAAAAGTAAAAGTTGACAAAAATATATAAATAGTAAAGTAAAGAACAGATACCCCCCCAAAAACGACTTAAGTAGTACTTTAAAGTATTTTTACTTAAGTACTTTACACCGCTGATGGTGCATAGAACTTCAGTGAGGACACCTGAACAGTCTTTGACCTAACCCGGTCTCATTCAAATTCATTGGCAAGAGGAATGCGTTTAATAAAGAAAAATGCAATTGAAGGGATGAAGAAGGATGTTATACAGTACTGCAGTGAAGGCTTAGAATCTCAAATTCTCCCAGTTGCTATAACGCGCCGCTGGTGTAGTGGTATCATGCAAGATTCCCATTCTTGCGACCCGGGTTCGATTCCCGGGCGGCGCACGTGTTTTGTTACATTATATCCCAATTTTCTCCTACATTTTACATACACATAAAACCAAATATTCAACATGCCATCCATAGCACAAATCATATGTTACTGTTAATCAATCGTTGCATTACAAGTTTTATTTTGGCCATCGCGCCATCCTGCCAGTACTTTCACCAAAGCCACAGTGCGCATGCGATGCTTTTCCTCAGCGATGCGATATATCCGCTTTCTTTCTCCGCCATTTTATGTCTCTTTTCTATTGTTCATAATTGAAGTTAGCAGGGGCGGCGGAGCGATTTACTGCGCATTAAAACATTTTTGGATATTGCTCAGTGGACATCAGCAAAATAGGATAAAGGCGCAAGAATCCAAGGTCATCATAGAATACGACACACGTGGATTTTTCTCTCAGGGTTCGATCTCTCACTCGGTCGGAAAATATGATGGACGACGAAACACCCAAGACCCTGTATGTATGAATAGCGGCACGATAACAGTATTAGCTAGCCGACTGACCATTTATTTCAAGTATCATGTGGCAGTGCATGTATCGGTCTTATGTGTCAATTGCATTTTCATAATATGTGGTTCATAATAATCATGTCAGTCATTTCTCTACCCTCCTGTTTATTAGCTAGCTGGTTGTGAGCCAGCCAACTGGGTTTATGATGAAAATGCACTGGCTAATAGGCGAGCTAACTAACAACATGTCAGACGTGTCCATTTTTTAGACAAAGGCATTGTAGCCAGCTATGCTGTAGAAGAGAACATTGTTGCGACTTGCATAATTGTGTCGAAAGCCACCTTTTAGATCTCAACATTTAGAGATATTGTGATGTTCTTATTCGCCTATGGGAGTTAACTGTGAATAATTGTGAATATTTTGGTAATAATATCATATTTGATGAAGACTAGCTAGTTAGCCTGCTAATCATGCTATCTTGCTTACTAACTCTTGTCGGCAGCATGTCGGGCCTCTAAATTAGCTTCAGCATCATGCTGAACAATGCTGTTGTCGTCAGCCCGACACCTTTCTACACCGGTGTCGATACAGTATTAGAGAAATCATAACCTACCTGCTAACGTTGGCTAGCTAGCTATACCTACACTGGTCGGCATACATCAATGACCAATAATCGTCGGACATCAATGTGTTATCTGTTGATGTTGGCTAGCTAGCTACCATACCTCTACAAATCTGAGATTCAGGTTGGGTTTGTCAGCTAGCTAACATGAGTGTGTTGGGTTGGAACTACGACACTGGCCATGTATGAAAATGCACATATGGAAATTGTTGAATGTGAAAGCGCGGCCTAGTCCTGTCGATACCAAGTTTCAGATTCTGGGGCCTAGGCGCCTAGCTTTAGGAAATTCTAACCGTGAATGTTAACTTACTCTATACATTTGTGTTAGTTCTTGCAGCAGACACAAACTGTGACACTAACAGAATCTGTCGTGAAAATGTTGCAAATATTATGTTCGGTAGCTGTAAAAGCCAGGTGTCTACTTTCCAAACAAAGCTGGCTAACGTTATTTGACTGGTTTTGAATGGCACTGCCCTCTGCTATGTTATGGTTTTAGTTTAACCTCAGTTGTCTTCTTCATGTGGCCACTGTGGTTATACGGTGCCTTGCTTGGGCTGGTATCCATTTTAAGATGTGAAATCCCAATATCCTAATTGTTAGCTGTGAGGGAGAATACACTGAGTTAAAGGGACAGTTCATCCCAAAATAAGAAACAATTCCAGATGGTTTCATACAGCTGTACATTGTAGATGGTGAACTATACCTTTTTTTAAAATCTTCACAACCACACTTCCTTGTCTGTCAGCTAAGTGGAGCATTTGTGTGTCTTGTATTTGCTGAGCCCAGGGTGTCCATGCTGATGTGTTGTCAATGTGCTGCAGGTATGTGGGGAACCTGTCCCGGGATGTGACCGAAGCCCTCATCATGCAGCTGTTCGGCCAGATCGGCCCCTGCAAGAGCTGTAAAATGATAGTAGATGTGAGTCTATATCAACCTGCCTATTGGCTAGTAGGGAACCTTCTCCAATCAGATTCCCCTTTGATTCAAGTCAGAATTACTTACCACTGTGCCATGTTCAGTCAGAACAAATGGGAGAGAAGATTTTGAAAGGAAAAACAAAAAGAGCATTATGATTAGACTTGGAGCTCAGCATTATGGACTAAAATCCATATTGCCATAAATTGCCTGAATTGTGGGGATAACAATGAATAGGATACGTTTATAATATTAATGTGAACCACAATTTTTGTAAATGATAAATTTATACTACTAGTTTGATCGTTGTAGGCATCAATTGTCCCATTAACAATCACCCATATTAGCAAATGTATTTCATTTCAAACTTCACATTTCTCTAGTATAGGCTATTTATCTTAATGAACAATATCAGCAAAATGCCTGCGATAAGTGATTGGTATGGTCGGTGTCGATAATTTTCGGTTTAACATCACAGCTCTAATTGGGCTCGTTGAAAACAAAAACATCTCTACTTTTGTGCATACTGAACGCAGACCATGACTAAGGGCCTATTCAGTGGTCTGCAACACATTGCAAATGGGAATTTTATGTATAAAGCCTATAGAAAAACAAAGATGACCACACAATTCCCTGTTCTACATGACAGAGGGATATCTGTCCTACACACTACTGCTTTATCTGGCACTCACTGAAAGAGACCCAGGACTGACTAGCCAAATAGGACAGAACAGCTTTGACCAATAATAGCCAGGTGCCGGTTTAAGAACACATTGTACTGTACTGTTGGGAGACTTTCCTCTGGGTTTGATTAACATTGAGATCCTGAGTCTGTCAAGCTAAATAGAGGGAAAATTGTTTGGCTAATCTGTAAATGATGATGAATGATAATGGATTTTATTTATATAGGCTAGCTGGGGCTTAACATGCTTTACATTGTAAGGAGACTCAACTTGGCCTATATTTTACAATGGTAGGATGAAACGGTGGGAAGGTCTGGTGTTAAAGTTCCTGTCCCCTATTCCCCTCCAGACGGCAGGTAATGACCCATACTGCTTTGTGGAGTTCTACGAACACAGGCACGCTGCCTCGTCACTCGCAGCCATGAACGGTCGTAAAATAATGGGTAAGGTAAGCTATCGTATCTACAGGGTGAGTCTGGTTGGGTCGGCTTGGGCTGGGGAGGGAGGGAAGGAGGAGAGGGTTGGCCAAAGAAGAAGAGGAGGAAGGAATTGAAGCAGAGTTGTAATCAAATCAACCCCTAGACCTTATCCCTAGACACTTGACTTGATGTAGGTCTGGAAAGGACAGATGGGTGAAAGCAATATGGCGGCCCAATGAGGAGTGGGTAGGGGCTTGGGGTTGATTTGGGACTGAGTGTCATTGACTGGGTATCGCACTGAATCGTGTTATCAGTTTAACTTTAACAGTTTACATTAAACATCAGGAAGTATGACATGCATGGAAAGAGTTTCCTCATTGATCAATAATACCACAACACCAGAAACATCAAAAATGTTTTATACTTAAGTAGGCTACATTTGAATGGTCTGGCAGCATTCCTTACAACGGTAGGCTACTTTGTTCTTCACCCCAAAATCTGTCTCCATCCCTCAAGTGTCTAAAGATAAGACTACATATTCCACACATATGATGTGTAGATGCCATTCTATATAAATTAGGAACAATCTGCAGGCCTCAATCTCTAATTAATGGGGAAGTTTGACACTGTGTAATTTGACTGAATTAGATGGTGCCAATCTTTCCCATTCATTTGGGTTTGAAGCCTGCAGATGTCGCAATGTAAGTTAAACATCTGGTTCCTTTGACCTGGGGGGAGATACTTAATGAAGGAGCGTGGAAGACGGATTGCACTTGAATTCAAACACTTTGAAACTCCTGTTGATAAGATGTTTTTTTTTTTTTGCTAGCTACTGATTTGGGATTCTGTGCTATCACCTGACCCTGGCCATCCCAGATTGGTTGTAGCTAGTAGGCCTACTACTCTACATACTACTTAATCCTACTGGTAGAAACCGTGTCTGGATGTCACCCATGTACAGTTTCATGCTCAGAAGAGAAGACTTGGCATAGCCAATTAATATTGGCAGCATGTCCAATGACTTTAAACCTGGTTGGGTTGTGTAATCTTTCTAAGTAGTGTCCCGAATTGACCGGTTTCAAATAACACTTCTATACTTCTACCCTACCCCCATTTATTATTCTGTACAATGTGTTCTTTTGCAAAAACCCTTTGCATAAAGAATCCAAATAATAACAATACTATTTATATCTCTAAAGACACATTCAGTTGAAAATATTTTATCCTCAACAGGTATTGAAGGACCATTTGAGGAGTAATACAAGTTCGTAAAATTCACTTGTTTGTAAGTCCCTTGTTATTTGGACCTTTTTACTTCCTAGACGTTTTGTTCCAAATTTGATTGATTAGACGGTGAGACTGAATTGTGACGTAGTCTGAGTGTGACCAGGCTTTCCCTCTATCACTGGTGTGACTACAACAAGCCCTCTAATAGGCTGACAGACGCGTGCTGTACAAGTAAGGCTTGCTTTTCACCCCTCTTTCCATCCCCCTCTATCTTTTTCTCTCTTTCCATCTCTTTCTCTTCTTTAGGAGGTCAAGGTGAACTGGGCAACAACCCCTAGCAGCCAGAAGAAAGACACAAGCAGTGAGTACTATCTCCATTAATACTTTGACATGCACCATACCTAACTGTGTTAAAGGAGTAGTGCCTATATAAAGCATGGAAACTTAAGAATTAATCAAATGTGGCTAGACTTTGTATGGTGCATTTAGAGCACACTTGTGTTATCCAAGATTATTCCAAGAATTGTTAGCATTGGTGCCTAAATGAGTTGACCTTTTGTAATCTTCAAAAATGTATTATTATACATATGATTCTGTCTGTGTTCAGATCACTTCCACGTTTTCGTTGGAGACCTCAGTCCTGAAATCACCACGGATGACATCAAAGCTGCTTTCGCCCCCTTTGGGAGGATATCGTGAGTGTTCTCTGTTTCTCCCTACCCCAGTTATCTCGGTTATGCTTATTCAAAACACTACAAAGATCTGTTCCTTCAATCGTGAATGTATTGATTGAACATGAGAACAAGCTGTACTCGTAGCATTCATCTGTAAAATATGTTCTCTACAGGTCTTTTTGGAGTATGTCTCTCAACAAGTAGCTAATTAAATACTATTCACAGCACTTCTTAGAATCATACTTATCATCCAGTGCTTTACAGCAACGTGGGGCCGACACCTCCCTGGACAGCAACCCAGTGAGACGGTGGCAAGGAAAAGCTTCCTAGAAACACAGTGGCCAGAGACCATAACTTCCTATTGTCTTGCTAACAGTAGTCTGTCTGTCCACAGTGATGCTCGGGTGGTGAAAGACATGGCTACTGGCAAATCTAAAGGCTATGGCTTTGTGTCCTTCTTCAACAAATGGGTGAGTGCCCGCCCCTCCCAACCTCAGCTTACTGTGCAGCATCTTGAGTTTGTGGTTTACATGAAATCATTAGCATCAGAGCAAAGTGTGAGCCTCCATTTCTTCTTTGTGTCCCCCCTCAGACAACACCCATCAATGTTTAGCCAAGCAAATACCACCCTGTAGTTCAGTAGCTACTTTGAACTATAGAGTTTACATGGGTGAAGACAAGATTTAGATTCTAGGTTATACCATTATTACTACCACTATGCATTATAAATGGTATGCTTTTGTGTGTAGGATGCAGAGAATGCCATCCAACAGATGGGAGGTCAGTGGTTGGGAGGACGGCAGATCAGGACGAACTGGGCCACCAGGAAGCCCCCTGCGCCCAAAGCCACCTACGAGAGTGAGTTAGACACACACACCACTCCAAAGAATGACTCGCACACACCTGCTGGCATTCAAATGATATTTTTTTTTGCCATCTATTTTCCCATTCATGTTTTAAATCAACCTTCTGTTCTTCTCCACTGTGGAGTAGCAAACACCAAGCACCTGTCATTTGAAGAGGTTGTGAACCAGTCCAGCCCCAGCAACTGTACCGTCTACTGTGGAGGAGTCACAACAGGACTCACAGGTCAGAACCTCAAGACAATCTGTACTGTGTAATATGGAAGTCATGACATGACTTGCAGGTTATTTAGAGGGAATATGTGATGTCATTGGTGACCCATTCCTTACTCATGTACCTTGTTGTTTCCAGAGCAACTGATGAGGCAGACCTTCACGCCCTTCGGCCAGATCATGGAGATCAGAGTTTTCCCAGACAAAGGCTACTCATTTGTGAGGTAAGTCCATGCACATCGTCTACAGAATACACTGGTACAGAAGCCCTTATTCCCACAGAGTAACCCAGAATCACAGCAAAACCTGGTCATCTCCAGTTGAAAACACTGAACTTTTGACTGCTTGACCAGGTGTCTGCATCTCTAGTTCGATGGGAAGAGCCCTGATGGTGACCTTGAAGTTGATTAGGAGATTTTCCTCTCACCTGTGTCTCACCCTGGTCTAGGTTCAACTCCCACGAGGGAGCGGCCCACGCCATAGTGTCAGTGAATGGAACGTCCATAGATGGTCACGTGGTGAAGTGTTACTGGGGGAAAGAGACCACAGACATGGTCAGCCCCATGCAGCAGGTACAGATGCCTCAGGTAAGACCGCAGGTAACAGCACTTCCTTTCTCATACAACATCCTTTTTACTGTCTTTGTTATTACATATCTGTGTATTACATATTTATGTTATTACATATCTACATGCTCAGCTTTAGAGGGCTTGCGGTAGCAGTTGCCCATAAGCACAGAGCAAAGTGGGATAGCTAAGGGAAACAGAAAAACATAGTTGACCCATTTTGATCCATTAGTTGATCCATGACATAGTTTGAACCCTAAGTGTTGTCTCCACAGCAGAACAAAATCGGGTTTGCAGCGCAGCCCTACGGCCAGTATGCCCAGTGGTACGGTAACGCCCAGCAGATTGGCCAGTACGTCCCAAACGGGTGGCAGGTGCCCACCTACGGCGTCTACGGACAGGCCTGGAACCAGCAGGGATTCAAGTGAGTACTCATCGACTCCTAGAGGGAAGTTAACAAGGCCCGAGTGGCGCAGTGGTCTAAGGCACTGCATCGCAGTGCTAGCTGTGCCGCTAGAGGTCCTGGTTCGAATCCAGGCTCTGTCGTAGCCGGCCGCGACTGGGAGAACCATGGGGCGGCGCACAATTGGCCCAGCGTCGTCCAGGGTATGGGAGGGAATGGCCGGCAGGGATGTAGCTCAGTTGGTAGAGCATGACATTTGCAACGCCAGGGTTGTGGGTTCGATTCCCACGGGGGGCCAGTATGAAAAAATATATTTAAAAAAATAATAATAATGTATGCATTCACTACCTGTAAGTCGCTCTGGATAAGAGCATCTGCTAAATGACTAAAATGTAAATGTAAAATGAGGAGACTTGTATAACATTAGTGGCCCTTGAAGATCAGTCTTGCTTCTTGTTCATGTCGTTGCACTCACTCATTACCTTTACCCTCCTGCCCTTTAACCATCACCCATTTTGGGGTTACACCTTTTCTCTCCCCATCCTTCACCTATCCTCTAACCTCCATGCTGTCTCTCTATGTGTAGTCATTTACAGGCGGGTGCAGGGTGGACGGGCGTGGGAGCAGTCAGTAACGGAGGCGTGGTGGAGCCTGGACAGGGAGTCAACGGGACTGTGCTGGCCAACCAGTCCGGCATGGGCACCGCTGGCTACCACACCCACTGATCAGCGCTGGCCCGGCGGCCCAGCATCGGCCTCCTACCCTCCACAACAGGGATCCTATAAAGGGGGTGGGGGGGGGGACCATCATGTGCCCCGTCTTTTACAACATGATTAAGAACTCTATGGCGGGGAGGGGGGGTTCCCCTGTCCGTCCCCCCACCCAACCTGGTTTTTACATGTACGTTTTAAGGTGGAGAAGAGGAGGAGGAAAAGCTTGTGTGTCAATGGCAATAGAGTTGCCTAGTCCTGGTATATAAGATACACACGTGTGTATGTGTATATATATATATATATATGCGCATACACACACCCATGTACACACACACCCATGTACACACACCTACAAAGGTCTTTGGCCCGGTGTCAGATCGACTGACTCATGAATCAAAAAGGACTATGCCATTTTTAATTAAAAAGTACTATTAAATGAATAAAATACATGATAATGACTTATTTTGGATTTGCTTTTTCTCGTTTGTTTGTTTAGAACGATTTCAACTGCTGATATCGTTAAGAAACGAGCTTTGCCTTTTTGTTGTTTTGTTTTGGGACTGTCATTTTAAAGAAATGTTTAAAGCAATGACACCATGGAATCATGTGAAATGTAAGAACCTTTTTTGTTTTTTATGTTTATAAAAAATGAATCAAATGGATGTCAACTGTTGTGTTTTTTTTTTTTTAATTTCAATATCTCAACTAAGAAACAATTGCAGGGATTACTGCCACTGTTCATCTTTCTTTTAAAGGCAGACAAATATTGCACAATACTATTACTTAGTTACCTTTTCACAAAATTTGATGTTACACAAATTCTAGGTATTTTGAATTGTTTTGCATTCCACTTTTTTCCTTTTGAAACTTTTCTTTTAGGAGGGCTTACGTACGTACATATACTATTTTGTATGTAAATAACCAAACAAAGTCTGTTCAACTGTTCTGAAGCTGTATAGAGGGGGAAAAAACCTCGTGTTAATTATGGAAGCTTGCTTGCTTTTTTTGACAGGCGGGGCAGGGCTGGGGATCATTAATCTAGACTGGGGCATATTAGCGTCACTGTTAAATGCTGGTCCATGATGATGTAGGGACAGTGCAACATTTGATTCTTCCAGGGGCCTGAGGAGAGCGATCTGCAGTGCAAAAATGATCTAGACTGAAAAGTAATGTAGAATTAAAGTAATTCTGTGTATAAAACTTAAATATTGACCTTTTTTTTTATGACAAAGTAGTAAATAGTTATCAATCGTAAAAATAAACTTCAATGGATCATAATTTTGCACTGTGCCCCCCCCCCCCCCCCCCCCATGGAGTTCTTTAAATAATACAGTTGGATGAGACCCATTGTGTTGCCTTATTTTGAGTTAATTTAATTTTAACCAACCAATTATCGTAGAGTAGGCAGTGCCTAAGGATAGACCTTATGTTTTGAGGCAGTGTTTTTTTGGGGGGGGGGGGGATGTTGCTGATGCTATAACGTGTTCTTGCTTTGTCCCATTAAAATGCTGATGTGTATAAACACTGCTTGCGGAAACTTATCATATTTCTATCTCTTCATCACATTGTTCTTGTTACTGTGTTTTACAGGCTTGATTTGAGAGTATTGTGAGAGGTGGTCCAGTCTTGCAATGAAATGCTTTTTTGTTTACAATGAGCTTTCCTACTTGTAATATTCAGATCCATTGATTTTGTCATCAGATAAGACATTTTGTAAGTAGCCGAAACTGGTTGAACGCGCCAACCAGTTAGCAAGTCGGAAAAGTCAAAGTTATCTAGTTCTGACTAGCACGTGAATGCGGCCTTGGATTGCTGATGCAATGTTTTGACCATTGAGTGACTTTGAAGCCACTGGTCGGCCATATTGGCAGTCCACAGTAGGAGTAATCCTCCGTAGGAATGAATGGATTTCTACAGTATTTCAATCAAATGTATCATGGACAAATTACATTTAATTACTTTGTTGCAGTGGGGACAGTAACATTAGTAATCTAAAATTATACTTTAAGGAAAACGTTTTTATATATATATTTGTTCATGTTTAGCTCTCCATAATATAATTTAAAAGTATATGCATGAAGGTGTCTGTAATAGAATAAACGTGGTAACAACCAATGTAGACATTAATACATGCATTTCTATAGATGCATTTCTTCGCCAGCTTGTACTCCTAAAACCCGGAAATTAGTTACCTCTGGTTAATTCAGCCATTCCTATGGCGAAAATGAATGAGGAAAGAATAGGGTATTGGGATAAATGCCGAAAATAAGGTCTGAGGTTATCACAAGTTCAAGAGACGTTATACGTTTTGTTCTATGAGATCAGTCAGATAATATGACCTTTATGAATTATGAAGCCTTTGCTTTTTTTTAAATAACATTAATGCTTCAAAATTCACAAAAAGTGACATCTGATGAAGATTATCATAGAACAAAACGTATATGATCTTATAAAGCCTTATTCGGACGGGATACATTTTACTGGGAAGCTCAGGTAATGTAATTTTGTGCACGAGCACAAATCACCACATCGGTAATTTTAGTATCGTCCGAATCTGCCATGTCAGTAATTTTTACTTGGCAGGAAGGTTATTATGCTAGCCCTAAAAACGTACTGTTTTTCGGCAAACTACAAGGTCCTCTGATAATACTTATACTGTGCGAATCGCCATCCCTGTGTTTTTAGGGATATTACAGAGTTTAACAGGTAATGCACTCAGGTTGGGTAAGAACATGGGGAACAATTTGATGCTTAAAACAAAGCGCTATGCACGTAGTCAGATGAATGATCTGTTTTGTCATATATCAACTTTTCTAGTGCCATACTTCTCTTTTAAAAGATGAAGTGGACGATATTGTGCCAATGAATTTATAAATTGCCAAATACGTCAGGTAATTACATAGGTTACAGTTCATGGTTATTATTGATATGCATTATTATTTCGACTTTCTCCGAATTGAAGGCAATTAGGCTAATATTCGGCTATCCCTACACATTTAAAATATATTCACGCCTAGAAGAGCCTCCAAGGTTCCGTCATAATGGTCAATTGTGAATGAGGAAAACAAATAATTACAGGGGCAGTTTGGTAAAACTAATCCCGTCCGAATCGTCCACTGGAAAAACGTACATGCTGGGGTAATTATTACATAGCCTACGTTCTGTGGAGTTAGTGCCTACAAAAAGACGCCATTACTATTTTACGACGGTGGGGGAGTACCAAGATGGACGTGCGGTGGGTCAAACATCTAGTGTATACATAAATTATTGTCCAACACCCTACCCAATCAGGATGCTCGTTACAGGCGCAATGCGGATACATTGGATGTAAGGAGGAATGGCGACGGTCGAGGGGAAGAGGAGGCTTGTGTATGAAAACTGAAACGACCATACAGCGCCAGGATTATAGGCAGTGAAAAAAACACAGGTATGCATTCAGCTGTAACCAATCATGGTCCAAACACAGGCGTGAACAGTAGATTGCGATGCGTCTGGTATAATTATGGACCCATTTAACGCAGCGTTATTGTTCACTTCAGGAACAATGTCAACCTACCTAAATTAGCTTTTCTATTCCTTTCTTATCAAAGTTACATGAGTTGAAAAATAACAGGTTTTTATGATACATTATTTGTCATATTGTATATATATAAAAAAAACATTTTTCTGAATACATAAAGGCGATAAAGGCCTACAAGGGCTTGACTGGAACAAATTATTGCATTATGGCCTAAGTTATTTTCTGATCACATTGATTACAGTATTATCTACTTGCTGAAATTAGATCAGGCTGTATCTGTTCTCTTTTCAGACCTACTCTGTCTTCCAGACTTCAGGCCAACTGCCAGTGGAGACAGACTGAGGCTGCCCAAATGGAGTCTGGGGTGGCAGTGACCTCACCTCCCACATCGGTGGTTGCCCCCACATCACAGACCCCCGCCCTTACACCCCCCAACCTCTGCTCAAAGCAGAGAGAGAGTAGCAGGAAGACTGCTACCAGCACCACCCCATCCTTTTTGTCCAATCTGGGCAAGCCCACCCTACGAGGGATCAGGAAATGTCCCCAGTGTGGCGTTTTCAACGGCACCCGCGGGCTTAGCTGCAAGAACAAGGCTTGTGGAATCGTCTTCAGAGGTGGGGGGGCTGTGGGGGGAGGTAGAGGGGCCAAGAGAGGGGCGGTGGAGGTGGTGCGGGTGGTGATTGACGGAGGAGGAGGGGAAGAGGAAGAGGGGGGTGAAGGAAGAGGTGGTGAATCCTCAGGTGGAGGTGCGCAGGTGTTCTCTGTCTGTCAGCGAGTGAGAGGGGTGGGAGCGGCTGCAACACAGCGGGGGTTCATAGAGCTTGTCCCCACAGATACGACCATTGCCACGAGCGAAGGGGCGACCCTGCTGACCCGGGTCAACGTGGGCCGCTGCTTCCTGCCCACCTGCCGCCATGCCCACGGTCAAAGGTCAGGCCAGAGCCAATCACAGCAGGCCGCTGTTCTGACCAACCCCCCGTCCAAGCAGGGTTTGTCTAACTCCGTCTCTCCCTGTGTCCACGTGAAGCAGGCCATGGCGTGCCAGGCGCAGGCCACCCCTCTCCCCCTGAAGAGCTCTATCCTGGAGGGGCTTCAGGCCTCAGCCGAGGCCAGGGAAGAGCTCTGGAGGCTGGCTACTGAGTCCCCGGGACCCCTGGTCCAGAGGGTGAACAAAGATACTCTGGTGGTGAAATGTCACAGTGGACCAAGTCATCCTTTGGGGCTGCTGCACCTAACTGTAGGCGTGGGGGGGTCTGCTGCTGGGGGGAAGGGGAAGGTCAGAGAGGGGGCTGTGTTTCAGTGTGCCTGTCAGGGGGGTGTCAGAGGAGGTACGGCGGGGGGAAGAGTGGCCATGGAGACCTCTCAGGATGGGGATGGGAAGGTGAGAGGGTCCTCAGGTGGCGTCTCCTCTGGTGTCTTACCTGACTCCACCTCTCGGCCTGGTGCTGATGCTGGCCCTGTAGCTCCATACCTCTGCCTCCACTTCTATGCCTGTGTCTGTGCCTTCACCAGCGACGAGAAACTGGCCTCAGAGTTCACAGGTTTCCTCAACTACAGCTCCAATGGTAGGGCCCTAGGAGAGGGATTGATATGAGTGTGTGTGATCTTTGCACTTTGTGTAATATGTCATATGGTGTATGTACAGTTGAAGTTGGAAGTTTACATACACCTTAGCCAAATACATTTAAACTCAGTTTTTCACAATTACTGACATTTAATCCTAGTAGAAATTCCCTGTCTTATGTCAGTTAGGATCACCACTTTATTTTAAGAATGTGAAATGTCAGAATAATAGTAGAGAGAATTATTTATTTAAGCTTTTATTTCTTTCATCACATTCCCAGTGGGTCAGAAGTTTACATACACTCAATTAGTATTTGGTAGCATTGTGTTTAAATTGTTTAACTTGGGTCAAACGTTTCGGGTAGCCTTCCACAAGCTTCCCACAATAAGTTGGGTGAATTTTGGCCCATTCCTCCTGACAGAGCTGGTGTAACTGAGTCAGGTTTGTAGGCCTCCTTGCTCGCACAAGCTTTTTCAGTTCTGCCCACAAATGTTCTATAGGATTGAGGTCAGGGCTTTGTGATGGCCACTCCAATACCTTGACTTTGTTGTCCTTAAGCCATTTTACCACAACTTTGGAAGTATGCTTGGGTTCATTGTCCATTTGGAAGACCCATTTGCGACCAAGCTTTAACTTCCTGACTGATGTCTTGAGATGTTGCTTCAATAGATCCACCTAATTTTCCTTCCTCATGATGCCATCTATTTTGTGAAGTGCACCAGTCCCTCCTGCAGCAAAGCACCCCTACAGCATGATGCTGCCACCCCCGTGCTTCACGGTTGGGATGGTGTTCTTCGGCTTGCAAGCCACCCCCTTTTTCCTCCAAACATAATGATGGTCATTATGGCCAAACAGTTCTATTTTTGTTTCATCAGACCAGAGGACATTTCTCCAAAAAGTAGGATCTTTGTCCCCATGTGCAGTTGCAAACCGTAGTCTGGCTTTTTTATGGCGGTTTTGGAGCAGTGGCTTCTTCCTTGCAGAGCGGCCTTTCAGGTTATGTTGATATAGGACTCGTTTTACTGTGGATATAGATACTTTTGTACCTGTTTCCTCCAGCATCTTCACAAGGTCCTTTGCTGTTTTTCTGGGATTGATTTGCACTTTTCGCACCAAAGTACGTTCATCTCTAGGAGACAGAACGCGTCTCCTTCCTGAGCGGTATGACGGCTGCGTGGTCCCATGGTGTGTATACTTGCATACTATTGTTTGTACAGATGAACGTGGTACCTTCAGGCGTTTGGAAATTGCTCCAAAGGATGAACCAGACTTGTGGAGGTCTACAATTTTTTTTCTGAGGGCTGATTTCTTTTGATTTTCCCATGATGTCAAGCAAAGAGGCACTGAGTTTGAAGGTAGGCCTTGAAATACATCCACAGATACACCTCCAATTGACTCAAATTATGTCAATTAGCCTATCAGAAGCTTCTAAAGCAATGACATCATTTTCTGGAATTTTACAAGCTGTTTAAAGGCACAGTCAACTTAGTGTATGTTACTTCTGACCCACTGGAATTGTGATACAGTGAATTATAAGTGAAATAATCTGTCTGTAAACAATTGTTGGAAAAATTACTTGTGTCATGCACAAAGTAGATGTCCTAACCGACTTGCCAAAACTATAGTTTGTTAACAAGAAATTTGTGGAGTGGTTGAAAAACAAGTTTTAATGACTCCAACCTAAGTGTATGTAAACTTCCGACTTCAACTGTATGTGTGCGCTGCTGTACCTGTAGGAGACTCTGTTATCATCTGTACTGCAGGTGTACAACAGAATTCGGACTGCACAGTCCTCTGTCGCTCCAGCCCACCTCAGCTGCCTGAACCAATCACCACTCACAAATCCAAGAGACTCCGTCTGGAGGAGCACCTCATTGGTGAGCTGCCCTGTAAATCACACTGTTCATCCAATAGAAGTGCGAGTGCCTCATCATCGAAATAGGACCTTCTGTATGTTCTTTGAAATCTGCCTGAGCACGATTTTTTTCTCTCAATCTGTCCTTCTCTGTGACCTTCTCTCCTCTTTTTCCTCTTTGTCTCTGTCTCCTCTGTCTCTGTCTCTGACTCCTCTGTCTCTGTCTCTGTCTCCTCTGTTACTTTCTTCTTCCTTTTCTCCTGTCTGTCCCCTCTCTCTGTCTCTTCCTCCCTCCTCTCTTCTCTCTCCTCCCTCCATCCAGCTGTATGTCCTGTAGGGTGGGTGGGGGTAGGGGTGGGTAGAGATGGGGGGCAGCCCCCCAGCCAGAGGAGGCCTTAATAATAATAATAATAATAATAATATGCCATTTAGCAGACGCTTTTATCCAAAGCGACTTACAGTCATGCGTGCATAATTTTTTTTTTTGTGTATGGGCCTTGTCAGAGGAAATCTCCTGTCCTTGTGCTCCTGTTTCTATTGGGCTCAAGAACCCAGGTGCAGCCTGCCTGCCTGCCTGCCTCCTTTCTCTGTCTCTTGCCAACTGCCTCCGTCCTGTCCGTCTGTCCTCCTTTCTGTCTCTCACTGCCTTTCTCACTGCATTTCTCACTGCATTTATGCCCCTTAAGGGTATCCAATGAACCACATATTCTTGAGCATTAAAAGGTAATATTATATTATGATATCTTTTTTTATTAATTATGACGTGTCAGGGAGCAGCCAGCCTGTGGATGAGAGCCTGGTGACCCTGGGGTTCCAGCAGTGGCTAGCCAGCGTTACAGAGCGGATCCACCTGACCATGCACTACCAGTTTGATGGTAACACATACACACACACACACAGCCCTCCGGCCCTTTTGAGTTTGTTTAATTGATGATGATGATGACGATGTTGTCTCCAGGTAAGCCGGAGCCTCTGCTGTTCCACGTCCCCCAGGTGTTCTTCAACGCCCTGCAGCACCGTCTGTCCCTGGGCTCCAAGAAGAGACGGCTGCCCAATGCTACCTCAGGTAACCCTTAACCCTAACCCAACCCAACCCTGACCCTAATTCAACTACAGTGAGCTCCAAAAGTATTGGGACAGTGAAACATGTTTTGTTGTTTTGGTTCTGTATTCTAGCACTTTAGATTTGAAATGATACAATGACTATGAGGTGAAAGTCCAGACTGTCAGCTTTAATTTGAGGGTCCCAATACTTTTGGTTCCCTAAGACGGGGGGGGACTATGTACAAAAAGTGCCGTAATTTCTAAACTGTTCCCCGATATGGATGAAAATACCCTCAAATTAAAGCTGACAGTCTGCACTTTAACCTCATAGTCATTGTATCATTTAAAATGCTGGAGTACAGAACCAAAACAAAAACAAAAAATGGTCACTGTCCCAATACTTTTGGAGCTCACTGTATAACTCTACAAATGAGCCTACTCTAAGCCTAACATAGACTCGGACACCCAGGCTTTGTTTCCATTGTTCGGAACGCCTGGGGAACTTGTCTGAAGAAAGATGCTAAAAGTGCGGTGGAGTCTAGATTAATGTTAGTGACGCACTGCCACCTATCAAATCAATTAAATATTTTGATTGGGTGGAGCTCCAAACAGAGGATATTTTTCTAAAACCTTTTCTGACTTGCAACAAGCTAACTAGCATAAGATACAAAAAAGAAGGCAGCATAGGCTACTAAAATGTTGTCTAACCCGGTAGAAAAAGAGGCACAAACAAAACTAGGAAAAACAAAAGGGAAAAAACAACTAAATGTAATTTCTACTCCAAGACAATCAAATGCGAGCGTTAACAGCCAGCACTCCAATTCAAACGCAAAATCCAATACTGAAGTTCTCCAGATTTCCAATATTTCAGTCAACAAGATGAGATTTGGAAAGATGGCCTCACGAGACTAACCCTAACACAACTACAGGTAAACCTTAACCCAACACCAACCATAACCCTAACCCTAACCCTGAAGTAACCACCAGTTTTAGGCTAAGTTATCTTTTTGTTTTCTTTGGTCAGCGTTTGTGAGGAATGATGATCTGCCCCATGGCTCCTTCTCCAAGTACACCTGGCACATCACCAACCTGATGCAGGTGAAACGCATCTTCGACACCCCAGAGGTCAGCTCTCTCTTCTTCACTCCTCCCCATCTCCCTCCTTCATCTCATCCACTCACAAAGTCTTCAGACTGCTCATGTCATGTATTTACGAAAGGGTGTTGGTATGTTTTGGTTTTAGTCACTCCGTGACTTTCTCTCTATCTCACCATGCATTCTTCTCCCTCTTTCTGTCTTCCTCTGTCTGTGTAGCTGCCCCTGGAGTTGACCCAGAGTTTTGTGAAGAACAGTGATGGTTCCTACTCTCCGTTCCGCTGTCCTGAGCCTCTTCCTCCTGACCCCACTGAGGGCTACAGCCGGACGGACAGATCCCAGGCCATACGACCCCTGGAGCTACGCACATTCCTCGAAGTCGGTCAGTGTGTGTGTGTGTGTGTGTGTGTGAGCTGGGTTGGACTGGTGTGTGTGATGTCATATGAGCTGATTTCTTCTGATCACCACAGGACTGTGTACAGCGGATCAGAAGGATCCCACTCCCTTTGTGATCGAGTGGATCCCAGACATCCTGCCTCGCTGTCGCGTCGGAGAGCTTCGCATCCGCTTCCAGTACGGTCACCAGCACGGAGGACAGACGGAATACTGCGACGGAACGCCGGGACGCATCGGAGGGGGAGGGGGGACAGAGAGGGGGGGTCGCAAGTCATCATCAGAGACCTCCCATCCCAAACAAACTGTAGAAGTACCACAGGGAACTGTCCCATGAGAAGTCACTGGAGGATCTGTTAGTTAATAGTTCTGGAATTATGGAAGTCTAGAGCATTGTTTTTAGAAAGAGTGAGATGAGGGGGGACCGTTTTTAGAGAGGGAAAGAGAGAGAGATGAGGGAAAACAATTTAGAGAGAAGGAAAGAGAGATGTGAAAGAGTCGTGGGGAATGGACTGCTGCTGATGGCCAATAATTGTATTTTTAATATCACTGTTTGTTCAATCTTATCCCAAAGTAACTCCATGTCCCTTCCGTTGCAGCTAACATGGATTTGTGTTCATTTACGCTATTACATGATTTCTATGAATCAAATCGCATGTCCTTGATAACAGTAGCTACTCTGCAGAGAAGTAGCATCTGAATGTTATATCAAGTCATTGAGATAATCAAATGAGAAACGTGTGTGAGGCTTGTGTGTGTCTGAAGGGTTGTAAATGAATGACATCTGAATGATTACCTTTTGTGTGTGTGTGTGTTTATAAGTGGTGAATAAGAACTTTCTGATGTATAGCTATCTAATTCACTGTCGAATAGAATATTTACTTTTGTTTCCCGTAGATACAGAAGAAGTAATGGTTTGTTATCTTATCTTTTTGTGGTGTAGATTAATAAATTCCTTGACCTTGAGAATAGACAGTCTTTATTCTCTGAAAAACAACTATTTCTATTTCCTAGCACCGCTCCCTCCCATCCTTTACATCACTTATTTTACTGATAAAGAACGTACACACTTGTGCCCTAGACGTTTTTCAGCGGAAGTGTTGAGCTTAGTCTTTGTCCACCAGGTGGCGATATTAGCTAACAATTTCACACCAGCATTCCACAAACTAGACAAGTGGCTACGGAAGAGAGAAATTAGGTTTAGCTTTATAGAAACGTAACTGTCCAATGTTTGGCCATGGCTCCATCCACTGATGAACAGACAGCTCACTTCAATTACACACTCCTTCTCAGGATATTATCATAACCACACAGTCTCAGAATAATATCCACATTTACATGAACTCATTGATTCAGTTAATGCTCCTTAGAGAACCGCATACCAAATTAGTGATGTACAGAGTAGGAGGAGGACATTAGTGTATCAGAGGTGTGTGTGGGTGTCAGAACATCGATGGCTCCCGGCCCTATTTGTCCTCCCTCTCAGACCCCCAGGAGACAACCTCCACAACAGTGTGTGTGACACTGACAGACACAGAAAGAAACTAAGGGAGAGAAGAGAAACATCCTGTTTGACAGCATGAAAGCGAGCTTGAAAGTTGGATGAGGATGAAGGAGCGGGCTGGAAAGAGGGAGGGTGGGAAGGAGAGAGGGAGAGAATAACATTGGTAGAAGAATTGGAGCGAAGGCCACATGTCAAGTAGAATATGATTCAAATCTCAGGGTCACAAAATGATTTTAGCTGGTGCGTAGTGTGTGTTTGTGTGCGCACTAGTGTGTATGTGTCCCTTGACGATGGAATTGTGAGGAGCCAGCGCCCTGTGACTGTGTGTGTGTCTCTGTGTCTGTCAAAACCAGCCTACAGACACACTGAGACGACAGCTCTCTCTTAGCCTTGTTCTTCTGAATTACGGAGAAAATGAGCATGAGTCTGTGTCAAGGCTATATAGTAAGCAGCTAAGAGTAAAACACGTAATAGAATCCAAAGGGTACTCGCACTCAAACCATACAGGGAAAACCTGCAGGTCGAGATGGAGACTCTGTACATATTTATATTATTTAATACATGTTCAGGTACTACATGCAAAAAGTGTTACACTTCCTCTGGACACTCCCGCTTAATCCAATCCAAGAGGGGGAGCGAGCAAGTGCACACTTCAGAAAGAGGAGTATTGAGACTTGAGATTCACCCACTGTCTAATTGAAGAACACTGAGACAATGAAGTGATCAGCAGATGTCAAGCAGTACCTTTGAGACTCAATGGATCACTTAGCTACTCACCTCTAAGGCCTGGCTGTCAATTTTTAAACCACCAACCAACCAACCCAATCACACATCACTCGCCTGCCAATACCTCCTACTCTCTCTCTCCCTGCCTCACTGCCCTTCTCTCTCTTTTTCTCTCTCTCTCTCTCTCTCTCTCTCTCTCTCTCTCTCTCTCTCTCTCTCTCTCTCTCTCTCTCTCTCTCTCTGGAATGTTGGGGGTTATTGAGGGGGTGCTGGGTTCAGTGGTGACCCTACTCATCCATAGTTTGTACGATCCTCACTGACCCTGTGTTCCTCTCTCTCTCTGTCCCATTACAGCATCATTCATCTGACCTGTTTACCTTCATTGTAACCAGGCTTCCCACAGCAAAACAAGTTGAAATTCACTAATTTGATTCATCTGCTTGCTCTGCCCTCATATTTAGCCTCACATTGAAGTGCTTTACCATTTTCTTTTCAGGACAACCAGGTTTACAAGTAGAACACAAAACAATTTGACAAACAGTTGCATTCATTAGTTTGATTGACTAATGTCAAACCAATAAGATCCGCCAAGCAAAAACCTGATAAAATATATTTATAAGAATGCAGAAAGTACAGAAATTGTTTGCTCTATGGGAAATTAATATCCTACTAGTCAGTGACAACTTTTTGGAGTTTGCGACACCAACTACAGTTGAAGTCGGAAGTTTACATACACTTAGGTTGGAGTCAATAAAACACGTTTTTCAACCACTCCACAAATATCTTGTTGACAAGCTATAGTTTTGGCAAGTCGGTTAGGACATCTACTTTATGCATGACAACAGTAATATTTCCAACAATTGTTTACAGACAGATTATTTCACTTATAATTCACTGTATCACAATTCCAGTGGGTCAGAAGTTTACATACACTAAGTTGACTGTGCCTTTAAATAGCTTGGAAAATTCCAGAAAATGATGTCATAGCTTTAGAAGCTTCTGATAGGCTAATTGACATCATTTGAGTCAATTGGAGGTGTACCTGTGGATGTATTTCAAGGCCTACCTTCAAACTCAGTGCCTCTTTGCTTGACATCATGGGAAAATCAAAAGAATTCAGCCAAGACCTCAGAAAGAAAACTGTAGACCTCCACAAGTCTGGTTCATCCTTGGGAGCAATTTCCAAACGCCTGAAGGTACCATGTTCATCTGTACAAACAATAATACGCAAGTTTAAACACCATGGGACCACGCAGCCGTCATACCGCTCAGGAAGGAGACGCGTTCTGTCTCCTAGAGATGAACGTACTTTGGTGTGCAAATCAATCCCAGAACAACAGCAAAGGACCCTGTGAAGATGCTGGAGGAAACAGGTACAAAAGTATCTATATCCACAGTAAAACGAGTCCTATATCGACATAACCTGAAAGGCCGCTCAGTAAGGAAGAAGCCACTGCTCCAAAACCGCCATAAAAAAGCCAGATTACGGTTTGCAACTGCACATGGGGACAAAGACTGTACTTTTTGGAGAAATGTCCTCTGGTCTGATAAAACTGTTTGACCATAATGACCATCGTTATGTTTGGAGGAAAAAGGGGGTTGCTTGCAAGCCGAAGAACACCATCCCAACCGTGAAGCACGGGGGTGGCAACATCATGCTGTGGGGGTGCTTTGCTGCAGGAGGGACTAGTGCACTTCACAAAATAGATGGCATCATGAGGAAGGAAAGTTATGTGGATATATTGAAGCAACATCTCAAGACATCAGTCAGGAAGTTAACGCTTGATCGCAAATGGGTCTTCCAAATGGACAATGAACCCAAGCATACTTCCAAAGTTGTGGCAAAATGGCTTAAGGACAACAAAGTCAAGGTATTGGAGTGGCCATCACAAAGCCCTGACCTCATTCCTATAGAAAATGTGTGGGCAGAACTGAAAAAGCGTGTGCGAGCAAGGAGGCCTACAAACCTGACTCAGTTACACCAGCTCTGTCAGGAGGAATGGGCCAAAATTCACCCAACTTATTGTGGGAAGCTTGTGGAAGGCTACCTGAAACGTTTGACCCAAGTTAAACAATTTAAAGGCAATGCTACCAAATACTAATTGAGTGTATGTAAACTTCTGACCCACTAGGAATGTGATGAAAGAAATAAAAGCTGAAATAAATCATTCTCTCTACTATTATTCTGACATTTCACATTCTTAAAATAAAGTGGTGATCCTAACTGACCTAAAACAGAGAATCTTTACAAGGATTAAATGTCAGTAATTGTGAAAAACTGAGTTTAAATGTATTTGGCTAAGGTGTATGTAAACTTCTGACTTCAACTGTCTGTGAGCTTATTATAGTATTATAGACACTACGTCCTGGGATTTCCTATGATCTTCTATGTAGAGGAACCCCTTACCTTCTAACGACTCTTGTGTGGCTTCTGAGCGTCATAGAGCAGTACATGTGCGTGTTCGTGAGAGTCTCAGGTTTTCATAGATGGGTCATAGTAGTTTGTAGCTCAAACCATTTGGACTCTTCAGATGTTTTTGTGAGAAGAACTGCCCCCGGACCCCTTCAAGATCCGCCCTTGTCTCACAAACACCGCTCTAACTCAGCCCCCATTAATCACAGACTAATGGTTGTTAACCAGAAGAAATTGACTTTTCCAATGGTGCAACCCATCAAAAACACTGTTTAAAAAGAGTTAGAAGTCCAAAACGTGATGGTGGGGCTCAAGAGGTTAACTCAACCATTTATCTGTTACAACTAGGCCCCTACAGAGAGTGGAAGAGATATTGAGGGGTGAAGGGGTGAGATGAGAGGAGGAGAGTAGGGTGAGATGAGTGGGTGAGGGGCATTTCTTCTCTTCTCTATTTGCTTGTTTCTCCCCCTCAGATGTTGTGTCCAGGGTACAGTATTACTATAAAAGTTCATGAAGCCATGCTTTGTCTCATTCTGTTTAGCCTGGCTAATTTACTAATAGTATTATTACCAGCCTCCACCTGGAAATGATGTCAGCATGGACACGTTGGTGTTTACTGGTGCTGGAGGGCAAGAGGTTAAACACATTCATAAGAGGTGTATGCGCACAAGCTCACATACACACACACACA